TCAACACTTCTGTCAAATTGGTTTCTTTTAACTCTGAAATATATTTAAAAGAGTTGATTTAAAGCCTTTTTTTTTATTAAGTCAAAAATGAATGGAGATCATGACTACATTCATGCATATGTGGGGGTACAATGTGCTGATTTTGATTTTTTTAATACAATCTGATGTGGCTACATTAAACTAATCAACATAGCTTTTACTTCATTTACTTGAGGAAAGTTTCCTCAGGTAGAGTTTGTACTCATGACTTTTCTTCCTGTGTAGGAGTCATACTTTCTTACTCCATTAAATCGCTCCTAAGTTTGTTGAAAACTGAACCTTTAAATAATAAAAAATATCAACACTGGAAATGTTTAAAAGCATTTGTTGCTTTTCCTGTTCCTTTTTTACTGGTCATATATTAGGGCAGTAGCTCTCTGTGAATTAACATTGTAAATTATCTATTTTTGATGGATGGGTTCTGAAATCTGCACTAGATAACTTAGTGGTCATCCAATGAATTAAATGCCTGCAACCAGTAAATAACCCAGTCTTTATTGAGAGGCATGAGAATATGTTGAGATATTCCTTCTGCAGTCAGCCATGCAATTTACTATTCTGCCTTAGCCTCCACTCACTGCATATTTGGAGTCCCAAGATCACCAGGAGGTGAGGGCAAAGGGCCTTTTAGGACTTTCATGAGCATACATGTATCTGTAGAAACACATATGACCTTGTGGACTACCAGGAATATGTTGAAGCTTTGAGAAGCCACTACAAATACAGGTATCTCTTGAATAACTTTGTTTTGAACTATGAAGTTTCAATATATGTGAGTTTTCAAAAATAGAATATCACCAAGTGCACCTGCCTCTCCTGCCTTCCCTTCCACCTGCTCCTCCTCTATATCTGTTACTTCTGAGGCACCAAGACTAACTGCTCATCTTCCTCTTCCTCCTCAGACTACTAACATGAAGCTAACAAAGAAGGGAAGATGTTTTTGATGATTTACTTCCATTTAATGAATAATAATTTATTTCTTTTCCTTATGATTTTCTTTTCTTTTATTTTCAAAAATGAATTTATTAGTTTTCAACTTTTTTTAAAGTTCAAATTAATATGAAGGAATGAATTTTTAGGTTACATTGTTCTCACTTCCAAGGTAAAGTTGAAGTTGTAGGAATGCCCCTCACCACAGGGCATGGGGTGTGCTAAATATACTTCTATTGTGTACATTAGGTGAGATTTCACCAAATCCCCCTTCTTCCACCAATCACCCTCTCCCTGTTCTCTCCCCTCCCCTCTTCCTCCTCACTCCTTCTCCTTGCTAGATTATATTTGTGTTTTCATTCATATGAGTGTGTAAGTATTTATAAATTGGTTTCATATTAGTATGGAGTACATTGGTTACATTTTTTTCAATTCTTGAGATACTTTACTAAGAAGATTGTGTTTCAACTCCATCCAGGTAAACATGTAAAGTCTCCATATTTTTTATGACTGAATAGTATTCCATGGTAAACATATACTGCAATTTGTGAATCCATTCATGGGTTGATGGGCATTTGGGTTGTTTCCATGACTTGGCAATTATGAATTGGGCTACAATAAACATTCTTCTGGAAATGTCTTTGTGGTAAAATGATTTTTGTTCTTTTGGGTAGATACCTAGTAATGGGATTGTGAGATCAAATGGAAGGACAACTTTTAATTCTTTGAGAAGTCTCCCTACTTTTTTCCATAAAGCTATATCAGTTTGCAATCCCACCAGCAGTGTAGAAGTGTTTCCTTCTCTCCACATCCATGCCAGCACATGCAATTTTGGTTTTTTGTGATGTAGGCTAATCTTACTGGAATTAGGTGATGTTTCAAAGTGGTTTTAATTTGTATTTCTTTGATGATTAAAGATGATGGGCGTTTTTTCATGTGATTTTGGCCATTCATCTGTCATCTTCAGTGAAGTTTCTGTTTAAGTTTCTTGCAGAAATGAGATTGTTCCCAGAACTGCATCAATGTACACAGTTATGATTTAATAAAAAAAAGAAATGGAGTTGTTTGCTCTTCTCTTACTGAGTTATTTGAGTTCTCTGTAGATTCTAGTTATCAAGTTATCAGACCTTTGTCAGATTAATAACATGAAAAAAATCTTTTCCCATTCTGAAGGCTGTCTGTTTGCTTTGGTTGTAGTACTCTTAGTTGTGCAGAAGCCTTTTAGCTTGATCAAATCCCAGTTATTTATTTTGGGTGTTGCTAAAATTGCCAGAGATGTCTTGTTCATAAAATATCTTTTCAGGCCAATATTTTCAAGCATTTTCTCTGCACCCTCTTCTAGAATTTTTATTGTTTCACGCCTCAAATTTAGATCTTTTATCCAGCACGAATCAATTTTTGTCATTGGTCAGAGGCATGCATCAGTTTCAGTCTTCTATAAGTGGCTAGCCAGTTATCCAGGCACCATTTGTTAAATAGGGATTCTTTTCCCTAGTGCATGTTTTTGTTAGGCTTATCAAAGATCAAACGATATGTGACTGGGTTCATCTCTAGATTCCCTATTTCATAGATCTATGTTTCTATTTTTGTGCCAGTACAATGTTGTTTTGATCACTATAGATTTGTAGTGAGGTCTGGTAATGTGATCCCTCCAGATTTGTTTTTATTTCTAAAAATAGTATTGACTGTTTGAGGTTTTTTGCTGATTTCATATGAAACAAAGTACTATTTTTTCATATTCTTTAAAGTATGACATTGGTACCTTGATGGGGATTACAATTAAATCTGTAGATTGCTTTGGGTAGTGTGGACATTTAAACAATGTTGATGTTTCTTAATCAGGAGCATGGTATATTCTTCCATTTGTTAATATCTTCTGCTATTTCTCTTCTCAGGGTCTCATAGTTCTCTTTATGGAGATCTTTCACATCCTCTGTTAGATATATTCCCAGGTATTTCATCTTCTTGACACTACTGTAAATGGGCCCCATGAGCCCAGGAGGGTGCACTGAGAGTCTGTAATGTGGCTATATTCCTACCTCGTCCCATTTCCCTGTCACAAATCTATGCTAGGGGTTATTTATTCAGATTTGTACATTGTTCCCCAGGATCCTGTTGGAAGCACTTGACAGGAACATGCACATCCTTCTCTATAGTGGCCGGTCTTGTGACTTTGGCCATCATCCAACAGGTTCATAGGACCTTGAAAATTATCTGAACATCTCATGCAACTGCATCTGATGATAGAGCAGCTCATTACACCTTAATTGGTGCCTGGAATGTTGTTCATCCTTGCCCAATTCCTGTGCTTGTCCCTGACCCTTGCCAGCACCTGCATGTGTTGTGGGATGTTGACTAACATCTGGGCTGGATGAGGGACTGTATTGGTTGGCCTGACAGATTGAGGGGCCTTGGCTGTAACCTGAGTGGGTTATGGGACCTTAGCTGCTGCTTGCAGGGCCCCCAAACCTTCCTGGGCACCTTTATGGGTTGTGGATCCTTTGTTGGCATCAAGGAGGGTACAGAATTTGGTGGGTGACCCTAAAGTTTAGGATACCTTTACAGATGGGGCCTTGTGGTCACCTAGGTTCTTATTGGGACCACAGCTAGTGTCAAGATTATTCATAGGACATTTACAAATGCCTGAGTGTATTGCTGGACTGAAGTCAAAGGCAGGGCATGTTATGAGACCTTCTTTGGTTCTTACACAGTTTTGATGACCTTAAAAGGCAGCCATGGAAAGCTTAGATGCCTTTGACTTATGCCTGGAAAGGTCACAGGACTGTGCCAAATTGTGGGATGGCTTCTTAGGCTACAGTGGCCTAAAATTTGGATATATTCTTAGCAGAGGAATTGCAGGAAAGGCCTTGGAGGTTTGTTGTGCCCTTTAAGGGCTGAGGTTCTCCCTTGCAGTAGCTGGGACTCTCCATCTACCCAGGTGGGCCTTTGGGAGATGCTCTGGTGCTATTTAGGTGGTAGCATGTGGTAGCAGCAGCTCTATAGATTTGGTGAGATTGAAGCAGCAAATGCTGAGGGCAGGTGGATGCCTGCTGTTCCTGGATCACTGGGAGGAGGTTGGTGTAGAGGATGGTGAAGTGCATGGGCCTCAGTTATAGTTCACATGAGAGTGAAGTCCTATCTGGAGCAGGGAAGGATGGGATCCTGCCACTGGCCATAGTTATGGGGAGGTGGCTGCAGGGGATCTGACTCCTCTGCAGAGTGGATGTTCTAGGGCTGAGAGTACAGAGTGATGTCTGTTGCAATGGCTTGAAACCAGAAGCTGGCAGGCCCCATGTATCTGCTCTGGTGGAGTGCTGCTCCAAGTAGCTCCCAGATCAGTTCTGAGGTTTGTGGTGCTGGTGGAGCCCCTCAAAGATTGTGTTACAGTGTCCACTGAGGGAGAGTGGAGCCCCAAGATCTCTTTTCTAACAGTTTCTTTCTTGTGGACATTTCATACAGGTACCTTACAATCTTGTTGAGCTAATTAGTCTCTCTCTCTCTCTCTCTGAGTTGAGGGATCTCCAGTTGGTTCTGCAATGATTCACAATACTTGCTTCTATAACATCAAGCCTTGTGTGAAACTTCACCCACAATTTCTTTTCTTTTACCCACAATTTCTGATCCTCTCCTTGATAGCTAGGAGTACAGGTTGCTTTAGTTTGCTGTATTAGCCCACATTCTGCCCTTCCCTTTTACACTCCCACTTACAGTGACAAACATCCCTAAATCATCTCCATCATATAACATTTCTGAAGTCAAATCAGTAATATATTTTCTTAGAATAGGTACCTTTTTGTAACATGAAAAAGTAGTTTAAGATTAAGTTGTCTGCTATACAACAATGACTGCAAAGAGACAGATGCCCAGATATTTTGTTATATTCTATTCTGTCCATTGCTTCTCATGTGCCACAATGGGAGCTAATAGAGACCATGGGCCAGGAAATGAACAGATCCCAAGTGACAAGGATTGTCCTCTCTGTTCCCACCATAGCCTTCCTAAAGGCAAAGAAAATGGAGATTTTTCCATACCTGGAGGACATGAAGAAGACAAACATAGGTACAGACAGGGTCAGTTGCAGTGTGCGCCAGTCTCGAATGGCAAAAGCCAGTCCTCCCAGGAACATCTGCCCAGCACTCCAGGCACATGATAGCAGCATTACAGCCATAGATCGTGACTGGGGATTTGTCCACTCTATCGCTGGAAGAAAACATATATGGTAATAGTAATTTCAGACAAAGGGTAATTTTGAGGTTAATTCAAGGCACAAAGACAATAAAATACTCAAATTATTGACTTACCCTGAAGAGTGAAGTTTCCCAAAACAGTCAGTATAGAAGACCCTGCCAGAAAGCGCAGTGTAGAGTAAACTAAGAGTGTGGGGGCAAAGGCTGCACAGGTGTCACAGACGGCCACCTGGAGGAGACACCAGCTGCATATGATCTTCCGTCCAAACCTAAGAGATATTTAACCAGATGTGATTATTTTGGAGCAACAATAACATGTGAAAATCATGACACAGAGGACAGATCATGCAATTCAGGATTAATGCTTTATGAGTTGAGTCTCCCACTTGAAACCAGATGGAATAATTTTATTAGGCATCAGCAGAGATCATAGATTTTAGTAACTCTAATTGTCAATATGAGAGTGTTGTCAAAGCTCTCACACCAAATTACCATCAGGTGGACATGATGCCATGTGAAAGTGTATAAAAGAAGATGAGATATGGCAACTTGGAATAAACACTTGTTATAAAATTATATGCATTTAGAATAGTGAGTTTGTGTGTTGTGCTTAGATGATAGCAAGGAATCTGCAATTCCTCTGCTAGGAATATATCCAAAAGACCAAAAATCACTTTTCAAAAAGATATTTGCACCAGATCATTCATTGAAGCTCAATTCCTAATATCCAAGTCACGGAAGAAGCCCAAATGCCCATCAGTCCATGAATGTATTAATAAATTGTGGCATATGTGTGCCATGGAATACTATGCAACCTTAAAAAAGATGGAACCTTTACTTCTTTTATGTTTACATGGAGGGACCTGGAACATATTCTCCTGAGTAAGGTACCTCAAGAATGGAGGAAAAAGTATCCAATGTATTCAGTCCTTCTATGAAACCTATTTATATTTACTCACACTTTGTTATGAAAGATAGAACACAACTATAGCCCAGGATGCAGGAGAGAAATGGAGTGGGAAGGGAGAGGAGGGAGGAGGTTTGGTAGAGGGAGGGTAAGAGGTGGGACCTATGGAGCATATTGCAAGGGTACAAGTCAAATCCTCAAGTGTAAAACATAAATATCTTAACACAATAATCAAGTAAATGAGGCAAGAGCTATGTTGATTGGTTTGATGTAACCATGTCAGATTGTATAAAAAGAAAATCAACACCTTGTACCTCACATATGCATAAATGTATTCATGATCTATGTGTATTTGACTTAATTAAAAAAAATACAACTGAGAATCTATCTCCCCTCCACCCCCCCAAAAAAGAAATCTGAATTTGGGCCTCTGCACTTAGAAGGTAAAGGGTAAACTTATTTGAATGGAAAAGGCAAAAGACAGTCAATAAAACTTGCAGATAGACTGCGCAGCCACCACTCTCAACTGTGTTTCCCTTTTGGTTCAGAGAACAATTCAGCCTCTGTATTCCTCAGTTCAGGAACTGATAGGAAGCTCACAGAGGAGAGAATGAGGTGAGAAAGAGCATCAGGAGCAAGGAACGAAAAGATAAACAAAAGGAATAGTAATTATTAATATATATGTCACGGTTGGCAGGATGGGTACCACGTCTGAAGCCAGCTTTGAATAAAGTACCTGAGTTGATTTTGAATTCCTGGTAGTATAAACACATGAACAAATTTTAGTTTTTGACACTTGTTTTGTACCATGTGTTACTTTCACAGTGTACTTACGTCCATATAATTCTTGTAGAATGTGTACCTTTGTGTTTATATAACCTATGTTTTATTACTAAATTTTTGTGATACAACTCAGAGTACAGTGAAATTCTTTTTGAAAAGATCTGTGCAGTAGATCATGATGGAGGGGCAATCACTGGGAATCTAAGAAATGAAAATTCAGTAGGTATAATGGGAATTTATATGTTCTAAATAAGTTCTTAAGGTAGTGGTTACCCTGGGTTCATTGGAGAGAAATAATAGGTGTTTCGCAGGGTATTTTTAGAGAAATAGTCTCATGGTGGCTACATGACATTACACTTCTGCCAAAATGCCTAAAACTGAACAGGAAAATGAGTGTGACCTAATGTAAACTATGAACTTTAGTCAATAATGTACCAATGTTAGTTTATTAATTATAATCAATGTGCCACAGTACTGCAGATTATTGCTGATATCGTAGACTTTGTGACAGGAGTATATGGGGACTCTCTGTGGTTTCTATTCAATACCTGTAGAACTAAAATTGCTATGAAAATTAAAGCGTATTTGTAGAAACAACTCTCATAGTATGGACACATATGTCAAGATGTTAATATTAGCAATCAGTGTGGTATTAGGGACATTGTGGGAGATAGGGAATTTGTCACTCAGAATGAGAATAGGTAAAAAGTGTTTGGGATCCTATGGGAAGCTGAAGAGGAGTTTTAAACAACAGACTAGGTCTACATATAAAATTATAAGTAGATCTTCAAACTTATTGGTAAATGCAAGAAGTAAAAAGAGCTTGGATAAATAGGTCTCTTGTCTAATTGCTGTGGCCAGGACTGCTAGTCTTATGGTGAATAACGTAGTGAAAGTGGTCTCCATGTTTTGTTCCACATCTTAGAGGAAAGGCTTTGTTTGTTGCTATTCAGTATGTTTTTTCTATGCCCAGCTTTCTCACAATTTTTTTTCACATAAAGGCATGCTGAATTTTATTGAATCCTTTTTTTGGCATCTATATGGCAAACGCTTGAGGTGATGGATATCCCAACTACCCTGATTTGATGATTACACACTGTATGCCTATATCAAAATGTCTTGTACCTCATGAAAATGCATGACTATTATGTACAAATAATAATTTAAAATAGAACGATAAAGGACAAGGTCACAGTTTTTAACTAAGATTACCAGATAGCATTGAGCATTTAAGGTACCATCAGTATCCTCGTGGGAGACGTGTCCATATGATAGCCAGGTTGATGGCAGTCCCCAGAAAAACTGTCCCAGGATTCAGAAATCCCCAAACTTCTCATCCCCAAACCATGTCACCCTAGGTTATAAATATTATACTTCTTTTATGGTGACAAGGTAACTTTTAAAGAAATTTGGCAAGAATTTAATATTCATACAGTTGCAAAGAGTCACTTCTGTCAGTGCTACACTGATGGACACAGATTTTATAACTGACTCTCAGTGCACATGAGTGACTCCCACTACACATGAGCGCCAAACTATAGGCATGAGATCATGATCAGTGCAAAAGTGTCTGTTATTATTTACTCACAAGCCTGGTGGGTCAGGATGTTGCCAGGGGCAATAACAACGCTTCGCAATTTGTGCTGTTCAACATGCAGCTGTCTTCTGACTCAAAATTCCTTCCTCCCCCTGTGTTGAACTAACTCCTATTCATAAACCTGGAATTCTATAATCTGCTCTGAAAATATCCTGAAACTTTGTTAAACTTGATTTATATTTTTGTGTCTTCCTTTATGCACTACAATAAATAGATTTCTCATTTGTAACTATAATTTCTACTTCACGTATCAAGCATTCATTTTCAGCTCCCTGGAGTCAGAAATAGAGGCCAGTACATAGCACAATACAAGATACACACAGCTCAGAAAACATGTCTAAAATAAAGGAGTAAATATATCATCTGATGTACACTCCAAAAGAAAATGAGGTGACACTCACCTGTCTGAAAGATAACCTTAACTCCAAAAGAAAATGAGGTGACACTCACCTGTCTGAAAGATAACCATACAGCAGACTTCCCAGCAATGACCCAGCCATAAGTAGGGATTGAACCACTGATTTCTGTGACTCAGATTCACACACCAGGTCCCACTGGAAGAGAAGGAAAGCAGCATAGTGGAGCTGGGGAGGACTGTGAGCCCTTTAGTGGACACTGACTCCAAACTCCTACAGAGCATGTGCATGAGCCTCTTCGGTGATCGTCCTGCCTCTCTCTCCAACTTCATCTACAGACACTCTCTTGTATAGCCCACACTCTGTAAGTACTGAGTGAGTTAATTTCAACCCTTAAAATGCAGTTGGCTTTTTTTTTAATTAAATGATAGCTGTATACATTAATGCAAACATGGGGTACAGTGTAGTGTTTTCATATACAATTTGAAATACTTTCATCAAGCTGGTTAACATAGACATTATGTCATTTACTTAGTTATTGTGTTAAAACATTTATACTCTAGTTCTAGAAAAGTTCACTTGTACCCTTGTTAGACAGACCATATAAGTGATCTTTCCAGTCACCCTCCCACCACCCAGCCACCCTTCTACTCTCCCTTTCCCCACCCCTCCTCACATTCTTAGGCTAGAATTAAGTTGTAGCTTTCATTTGAGAGCTATAAATTAGTTTCATAAAAGGGCTGTGTACATTGAATACTTTTTCTTCCATTCTTGTGATACTTTGCTAAGAAGGACATTTTCCAGTTCCATCCATGTAAACATGAAGGAGGTAAAGTCTCCATTTTTCTTTAGGGCTGCATAGTATTCCATGGTGTACATATACCACAATTTATTGATCCATTCGTCGATCAATGGGCACTTGGGCTTCTTCCATGACCTGGCAATTATGATTGGGCTGAAATAAACATTCTGATACAAATATCTTTATTGTAATGTGATTTTTTATCTTCTGGGTATATACCTAATATGGAATTGTAGGATCAAATTGCAGGTCAATTTTAGTTCTCTAAGTGTTCTCCAGACGTTTTCAGTTGGCTTTTTCTCTGACCTCACAACCTTCTAACAGCTTTTAGTCACATGTCTATGTCTCCATTCATTTTATCTTCACGCTCCCTTAATTGCATTAAGTTACAATACATTCTTTAAGAGTTACATTTAAAAACATATAAAAGCCATAAATAAAAATTTTCCTTTACCAAAATGTAAAACAAAAAATACGCAAAAACCCTGCATTTTTTCTAGAAAGGCCACCCTCATCATGTAGGGAACATAAGGGACCCTTCCTATGGGTTTACTCAGATGTAATTTCATTTTTGGTCACATACTGAATCATTCAAAAACCTTCAGAAATACTGGCACTTGAGTGCTATGCACAGAGGTTCTGGTTTATTTGCTCTGCATATCAGTTTTGCAATGATTATTGAGAACCACTAACATAGCTAACATTTTTCTATTTAAAAAATTATAGGTCTTTCTCATAAGAATAAATTATATAAATCAATTTATACTTAGCTTGTTCAATTCATTAGCCTTAAAACTCATACACTAGGGGGATTCTGGGAAGATGGCCGACTGGTAGCAACCCTGGTCAGAGGCTCCTGA